AGCTATTGGTATAATGATCGTGGTTGCTATTGTCAACCCATACCTCATAATACCCGGTATATTTCTATTTGCACTAACAATAATCATCAGGGGTATTTACATCAAGAGTGCCCGGGACATAAAGCGTCTGGAGGGCTTAAGTATGATAATACTGTAAATAAATTAACCAATCTAAAAATTTTAACAAAATTTACATTCATTTTCATAGCCCGTAGTCCAGTCTATTCACACGTCAGCACTACCCTTAACGGGTTGGCCAGTATCAGGGCATACGGTGCTCAGCAGGCTTTCCGGGATCAGTTTTACACCTACCAGAATGACCATAGTGCCACGTGGTTTGTATTTTTGGGTGCATCCAGGACACTGGGACTATTAGCTGACTGGTTATGCGTGGCATACCTGGCCGCTATTGCTGCCGTAATCATGGCCTATCAGCATGGTCAGTTGTTTAGTTAATCTTAAAATAAAAATTTAATTATGTATTAAAATTCATTTCAGGAATAACTAGTGGTAGCGCGGGTTTGGCATTTGCATCTGGTATGTTTTTAAATATTAAAATATTAGTATTCATATTTATTTTAATATACATTTACTACTAATTACAGTTATTAGTAAATTATATTAGCTCTAACTATTGAATATAAAAATAAATGGCACTGTCTTAATTGCCATACCCGCCAGGGAAGAGAGAGAGAGAGAGCTGGTTATTTATTAAACTATTGTTAAATATTAATTTTTTATTAATTTTATACAAACATGTTAACATGTACTATAACTAAATCAGTTAATAATTTAATAATTTAAATTGTAATTACATATAAATAGCTCTCTCTCCCAATTTTTTTGTCCTAAATGGGAGAGAGAGCCATTTATATGTAATTAAAATTTAAATTATTAAATTATTAACTGATTTAGTTATAGTACATGTTAACATGTTTGTATAAAATTAATAAAAAATTAATATTTAACAATAGTTTAATAAATAACCAGCTCTCTCTCTCTTTTCCCTGGCGGGTATGGCGGCTATGGTAATTAAGACAGTCCCAAAATAAATTCAAAATTAGATCGATTACCTGTCCAAATACAAAATAATTAAGTTTTCTAAAGTATCTCAAAAATATGCATTTAACAATTACAGTTTTATTTACTTTTATTTAATCATTACTAGCATTATTATATTTATACTTGTATTAGTTTAATTATGAAACAAAAGATAATGTAGACCATGATTAGTAAAATAAAATTAAAATTATTAAAATTAAATTAGACTAATAAAATACCTCATAGAAAAAATAAATTCAATATATTCTCGTGGCGTAGTTTCCACATAAAAATAGATACATAATTTTAAAAAGTCTAAAAATATGTTTTAAAATATTACAGTTTTATTAACTTTTATTTAATCTTTAATAAATTTAGCATTATTATACAAGTCTTGCGTAAGTTTAATTATTAAACAAAATATACCGTGTATTACTGGGTTAATTTTAAATAGCAAATTAAATGTATAATATTATTATTAACTTGTAGAAATTTAAGCTGACCTTAATTAATTTCTTATTGCTATATCTAAATATGTTTGAAATTTATATTAAATATTTACAGTACTTTCTATATAAGCATAAAATTCTTATAAATACATAATTATAAAAAATTTAATAATCTTAACATTCATCTAATCATATTACACTTCCATGTCTACCCCTAACCTACCAGCCCTTATGCTCACCGGTCAGACCCAGTTTGGTGTCCGACAGTCGGCGGAACTGGAGTCCCAAATGACATCAGTCGAGCGTATCATTGAATACACTAAACTACCCCAAGAGGCGGCCCTCGACTCGGACGCCCAGCACCGGCCCCCACAAGACTGGCCCCAAACCGCACGCATATCACTGGACCGGATGTCCCTCTACTACGACAACGAGAAGCCTGTCCTCAAAGATATCACATGCGAGATAAGGGGCGGCGAGAAGATCGGTATCGTCGGCCGTACCGGTGCCGGCAAGTCGTCCATCATATCGGCCCTGTTTCGCATGGCTGAGCCCACGGGCCGTATACTCATCGACGGCGTCGACACCAAATCCATTGGTTTACACGACTTGCGACGCGAGATAGCTATCATACCTCAGGATCCGGTGGTGTTCTCGGGATCCATGCGCCGCAATCTCGACCCCTTCCGGGAGTACTCCGATGAGGACATGTGGGAGGCCCTCGACGAGGTACAGCTCCGGCATGTGGTGAATGAGCTACCGGGCCGTCTGGACGCCGAGCTCAGTGAGGGCGGCGGTAATTTTAGTGTGGGTCAGCGCCAGTTGGTGTGTTTGGCCAGGGCCATTTTGCGTAGGAATAAGATCCTGGTGCTCGATGAGGCCACGGCTAATGTGGACCACCAAACCGATGCACTCATTCAGCGGACAATACGTAATAATTTCAGTAACTGTACGGTACTTACCATCGCTCACAGGCTTAACACGATTATCGATTGCGACCGCGTATTGGTTTGTATTTTTGGTTTCATATAAACTTATAATTTTAAATTTAAACTAGCTTATGTTTAGTAAACATATTTGTATTTAATATCATTTAAAATACAATAAGATTTGTAATATATACCTAGATCTAAATGCATAAAAATTGATTTACTAAAATTAGGAGCTATTAGCCATTTGCATAATAATCGTCTATTGTATTTGTAAATTGTAGTAGCAATGCTTACATTCAATTTAGCTATAATAACTTTTTACAGTTATAAATTTTATTAATAATGAAAAGTTTTAAATTTTAATTAATCAAAACAGTTTATCTGCCATTAATCTCATTTTACACCTGTTACTTAAGTCAAAAACTATTGTACAGTTTATATTGTTTTTTAGGAACACTATCCATTAGGTTACTAAACAAATTATGTAAATAATAATGTAATTTTAATAATTGATTGTTACAGGTGTTAGACGCCGGACAACTACAGGAGTTTAATGAGCCCTTCAAACTGCTCGACCAAAAGGGCTCTTTCTATGACATGTGCCAAAAGACTGGCCCCGATATGTATAACCATTTATATAATTTGGCCAGGGATGCACATAACTTAAGGCTATCAACTGGCACACAGTTGTAAATTGTGATCAATATTTTTAAAGTTTTTACTTAAAATTGGTTTTCAAATACTTATTTTTATTAATAATGTATCAAGAAAATTTAATTTAACACAATAATTGTTATATTTATTATTTTAACTTTTAATTAAATATATTATTATAAGTGATAATTTTTTTATTGCTATTTATAAACTAGCTATTTTTGATTGTATAATATTTTAAATTATCGTTATACTCAATAAATTATTTATTAAAAAATACAAAAATAATTAATAAGTTTGATTATAATACTCAATTAATGATTAATTCAAAATTCCAAAAATAGTGTCCAAAATAACATACTTTTTAGCAGTGAATACCATGAGCACCTATATAAGCAAGTGGTAGAGGTGTGTGCACTGGAAAGGGATCTACAATTGTTTCCTTACGGGAATCGGACATTTGTGGGCAAAAAGAGTGTCTCGTTGTCAGGGGGCAAAAGACCAGGATCAATTTGGTCAGGTATGCATTTTAATTATGACTGAGGGAAGGCATATAAATAATGTGCGGTTTTATAGGTCGTTATATAGGAACGCCGACATTTGCCTTATAGTCGACCCCTTATCGGCAGTGGGCACCTCTGTTCCCGAATATATTTTCAAAAAGTAAGCTAGTATATTTTGTTTAATTAATTTTTAAATAACCTAATCTATTAGATAAGGTCATTTTATTTTAAACAGTAAACTAGTTATATTTGGAAATTGTCTTTTAATAGAAGTTATAATTAATGTAAAAATGGGGCAGAAATGAATGTGTTCATAAATATTATTTTTATTAGAAAACCTATAAATAACTAGTTATAAATATTTTGCAATTACTATATTATAACTTGTGATAATATAATTATGAACATCATATTATAAAAGTTTGCAATTTAAAATAACAAAGATTTATTTTTAACTCTAAATTTAATATTTTAGAAATTAGACTTGATTCTTTAAATTGTACTGTTCATTTTTTGGGTTCAAATTAGAAAACTATTTAAAAGTATTATGCTCATAAATCAGTATTTGCAACAATAAATAAAATAGTTTAATTTTACACAAAAGTAATTTTATATAAAAATATTGTTTTTTTTGTAAAAAACTATTAAAACAATAATTTATCATAGAGATTGTATTATTAAATTTATAATAATAAAATAAAAATAATATTCTTATTTATATTAAAAGAAAGTTTGTATTTTATTTAAACAGTAACATCATTATTTTGAAAATTTGTAATTGTATTAAAAGTGTCATTTTTATAAACTTGGCTATTATCTAATAAACCCTTTATTGCAATATGTACTATAATTTTATAAAATAATATAAATAATTAAAATAAATGTACACACTCTAAATTTTATATTATATTATATCTTTGGAATTAATTTTCTAATACCATACTCTAAATAAGGTTTACAACTAAATTACATTTTGGACATAATAATAATAAATTATAAAATATTACAAGTAATTTTATTACTTATTCTCACGCACATGTGTATCGTGAGCTACCTGTTCAACAAAATCCGTATACTAGTCACCCACCAAATCCAGTTCATACGGAAAGCCACGGCTAATGTGGACCACCAAACCGATGCACTCATACAGCGGACAATACGTAATAAATTCAGTGACTGTACGGTACTTACCATCGCTCACAGGCTTAACACGATTATCGATTGCGATCGAGTACTGGTTAGTATAAAATCTCATATTATTAATTTTCTGCTAGTGTATATTATAAAAATCATATTATTAGATTATAAATAATACTCATCTAGGATATTTAGTAAAAATTGAGATAAAAACCTATTTGTATGCTTCAAATAAGCCACTAATTGAATTATCATCTATAACTTGTGATATAAATACTTTTGATTAAATAATTTTTATAAATAATATATTTAGCAAAACTGTATATTTTATTATTAATGAAAACCTTTTAGTTTTAAATATGAGTAACATTAAAATATGGTCCAACATATTCTCCGAGATTTTAATTTAAAAATATTTAAATCATTAAAATTCCCAGTTTATGCACTACTAAACTCAAGATTAGCCAGATAATAAATATAATTTTTGGTTACAGGTGTTAGACGCCGGACAACTACAGGAGTTTAATGAGCCCTTCAAACTGCTCGACCAAAAGGGCTCCTTCTATGACATGTGCCAAAAGACTGGCCCCGATATGTATAACCATTTATATAATTTGACCAGGGATGCACATAGCTTACGGCTATCAACTGGCACACAGTTGTCAATTGTGAACAATGACTTAAATTGTTTTACTTAAATAGTATTTATTTTATTAATAATGTATTGATATGAATTGATATTGTATAATATTCGTTATATTTATTAATTTTTATATTTTATTAAATATTTTATTTTTAATGTTACATAATGTATGATACTTATTTATATAATAAGTGATAATTTTTTATAATTTTTATTTTGTTTCTATTACTTGTCATAAAACTTTATTTTGTATAATAACTTAGTTTTATCTTGATTAGGTAACTAAATAAATAATTTTATTAATTTGAAATTATTAAATGAAATACTAAAAATGTTTACAAATAATAGTAAATGAAATAAATAAGTTATTATCTTAGATCATCAGGTAAATCAATATGACCAGGTAAACATCCTGTGCCCTATAAATTGTATCCGTAAACAATAAATTACCTTTATATCAAAAATAAATAATTCAATAGATAGACAAGTACAAATACCATTAATAACCTGTAATTTTTTTATTGTAATATAAATATTACTAATATTGTATATGTCATATCATAAAAATATTTTTATATACTTGTTTCAAACAAGTTTATAATAATATTTTAACCCTAAAATTTTCTGATAATTTATTATTTTATATAAAAAATATTTTTACAACAAATAAATCACATTTCCCGATTAGAATTAATTAAAAACTATTTTTATAATATCGGAGTTCAATATCTAACTTAGTTACACAACATTATAAAAATAAAATTACAATCAAGCTTAAATAATATAATGTTAATTATTTTTATATCAAGAAACTTATCATGCTAATCTAAAAATATTACTTAAACATAACAATTAAATGGAAATATTTTTGCCAAACATGACCCATCATTAAACACTTAATCCTAACTATTTTAAGGCATATTGTGTAGCACCGGGAGGTACGCCATGCGGTGGTCTAATGTTACCCATTATAACAGGTAATAGACATTTGAGTTATCATTCAAATACTTCTTCATTATCTAATCGGTTGTCGTTTTTAANCTATAAGAAAATAAATGAGTAAATCATTTGCTCAAAATAGAGGTGGAACACCAAGGTTACTTTCGATTTATGTCATTGCCATGAATATTCCGGTACATACTTATGGGAGCAAGGCTAATCCGATATGAGCATGTATATAAATAGTTGTCAGTTTTGTTAATATATTTAACTAGCATATATTAATATTTATATCTTATTATTTGTAATATTTAATAGTTAAGCTTGATCAATAACATACCTGTGCTCTAATATACAGTATAGAATGTCTGATAAACAGCTCATTATTAATAATAATCTCATAATAAATTTTATATAATATTTATTTAATGTGATTCAGACAAAACATATAATTATGTGTAAAACATATTTGTTTGTAAATAAATACAATATTTATAATTTGTGTGTAATTCTCCGAAAACTAATAACTATTTAAGTACCAATGTGATTTTATTCATAAATTGGTGGTTATGTCAGTGAACATTAAATATTGATTTTTTGGCTTAAAAACAAAAATTCATTTCATTATAAGACCTCATCTCAAGTATGGATTTAAAAGCCATTCTCTCCTCACATAACGATTAGATATAAAATGCTTTTCCTTTGAATGTGTTTTACAGTTGTCTGCAAATAATGTTTTCAGTACTCGAGTCATGAGAATCATTGCAAACGAAAAAAATAATTATTTGTTTTTCTACTGAATTGTTTGAAATGCGATTAAAAACAACAAGTTTTTGTTAATTGCATCGGAAGTCAAAAATTATGTCCTAATTTACTGCTAGATTAAGCAAACTTTATGGTTAAATATAAATCATCATGGGTAGCTTATGTCCAAAATTAGGCACCTTTTTAACATATATTTATATGTGCTTGATAATTAATGTTTACACAATTACTGCGTTTAATTGTCACCATAATATCCGTGGTTATGATGACAAGGAGTTTGACTTTTTCAACCTGAATAATTTTACCAACATCATGTGTGCCAGGTGTTATTGGTACATGGCCGATTTTGATAATGCATGGAGAAACGGCACGAAAGTGAACAGGGCTATGTCGTTGACATTTTACCCTGATGTTATGCTTCACTTTACGGTGGGCGAAGGACACGACAAGCACCGGGAAAACATAGGATTTAATTATAGTGACCTGGATGTTGATCATTGGACTGATGACCCATTTCTTATGGAGTTTGACAATGAATTTTATATGGTACATTTTTAACTTATTATTCTAGGTATATTTTAAATTAAACTATTACTTTATTAAATAAATCAAATTATTTTTAAATCACCTTAACTCAGTTGAAAAATATTTTTAAATCCTAAACATAGTATTGCAGAAATAAGTTATTAATGCATGGTAAGATTGTCGCAAATTAGTATTTTTACATACTGTACTTATATATTTAACATTGTAAGTTTATTAGTAATTATAACTATGCGCTTAGCGCTAAATCGGAAGCATCGTGAAGTGAAAGTAAATTGAGTGGTTTTTATTGCCATGATTTGTTAGCCAATAACATAATTAAAATTTTGAATTGAATAAAGTTGGCCAATTAAGTAAATTAGCTTGTTAAATTTATTGTCGCAAATTAGTATTTTTACATACTGTACTTATATATTTAACATTGTAAGTTTATTAGTAATTATAACTATGCGCTTAGCGCTAAATCGGAAGCATCGTGAAGTGAAAGTAAATTGAGTGGTTTTTATTGCCATGATTTGTTAGCCAATAACATAATTAAAATTTTGAAATGACTAAAATTGGCCAATCAAGTAAATTAGCTTGTTAAATTCACGTTCAACCATCACTGGCATCCCCATTTTGTCATTGAAATGACATAAATTCTATGGATTCTACATAAAATGAATGTCAACTGCTATGTGCTGTCAAATATAACATAATTCCAGAAATGATTACCGATATATGAACACAAAATTCTAGTATGACATTGTATTTAATTAAATCTAATGTTATTTCAATGAAAAAATGAAGATGTCAGTGATGGTTGACCGTGAATTTAACAAGCTAATTTACTTAATTGGCCAACTTTATTCAATTCAAAATTTTAATTATGTTATTGGCTAACTAATCATGGCAATCATAACCACTCAATTTACTTTCACTTCACGATGCTTCCGATTAAGTCATGAATGAAATTTAAAGGACCATGTTTATAAAAATAATTTCAGAACACATTCTTAAGTTGCTGTTCAGACGCTGAAAAATGTTGTAAAAAACAGTTACAAAAATCGGACCATCAGTCGGAAACAGGCAACCGATGCCCCGCTAAATGGGACGGTTGGATGTGCTGGGACTCTGCACCGGCCGATAGTATTCAATACCAAAAGTGCCCGCCTATGTCACATAATGCCCTCGGTTACCATCCCACCGAGTGTGCAAATGAATACGCTAACAAGGTCTGTTTGCCCAATGGCACCTGGACCACGAAATGGCTACTCTATGATCCAGAGAACCCGGAGGATGGTGCCTATCAGGACGAGAATACCGATTATGACTATTGTACATTCCCACAGGCATCGGAAAAATTGAGACAGGTCCATACTTCGATAGGAATATTTATATTTTCGCTCGTTATTTGCGTGATAGGCATGTTGGTGTTTGTGTTTTATGAGCAATATAAAATACTCAGGGTGCAGATTCATATGAATTTCATATTCTCGATCATATTGACCTGTGTGTTTTCCATCATGTTCGATTATTTGCTTAAGGAAAGTCATTATACAATGAATTCTGTGCTTGATGAAAAGTATGTTATTAATGTATATTAGCATAACATTTTTAAAAAATCTTTTATACTATTTTAGAATTAACTTGAACAGGATTATTTTAACTAAAGTTTTATTTTTCTGAATTTATAATTTTGAATTTCCAGTCCCAAATGGTGCCGGGCACTTGTTATATTGTACAAATTCTCGCATATAACAAATTTTTGCTGGATGCTAAATGAGGCGGCATACCTGCACCGGCGTATTGTATTGAGCTTTGCCGAGGAAAGACATTTTCTATATTACTATCTATTCGGATGGGGAGCACCGGTATTCGTAATGATACCTTATATTGTTGTACACTCGCTCGAAGACTATGATATTAATTGCTGGACTGTACCCATGTTTTATCCTGAACTGATCTATGACATTTTGCCTGTTACGTGTGTTGTGGTAAGTTACGTATTTCTATTTATTAACATTAATATTGGAAATAATAAAACATAAAATATATTTAAAATCATTTGATGTTGCTACTTTTATCGGTATTTTTAACTTGTTATAGCTGTATTAACATAATTATTTTATATTATATTATTTTATAATTAAAGTTTTTATATTGGTATAATATCAAAACACAATTTTTTAACATAATAAATACTTTTTATTTACAAATTAGTTTAATAATTATGTAAATATCTTCAAAACAGTAAAATATTATAAAATTAAATTTAGTAAGTTAGAAATTATTAATAAACACAGCCTGTGGAAATGATTTCCCTTTCATAAATTTTCAATATTCTAAAATAAATATTTAATATTAAATTACTTCATTTGATATTTATTTTTAAATAAATCTTGCGAACTCAATAATCATAACAATAATTTTTAAACTAGCTAAACGCCCTGCTACTATTCAACGTGGTGCGAGTTTTAATGACAAAACTACGTTCATCGCCCGACCATTTTCGTGCTGGTCTACGGGCATCCCTGATCCTATTGCCAGTGTTTGGCATCCAGTACACTTTCTACATCGCCAATGTCGACCCATTTGAGTCGTGCTCTACCGGCGTGTTTGTCGCCAAATACATACAGATTGTGATCGAAGCACTTCAGGGGGCGATCGTCACCACTATATTCTGCTTTCTTAATGGAGAGGTAATACACGATTCAAACGCTACAATATTAATGATAAAATTAATTATCAGTTATTATTAGCAAATTATAGATATATTCAGTACTTAAAATGCATAATTTGCTGTAAATTATATAATTAAAGTGCCTTAAAGTACATAGTAAGTTTTTTATGATATAGTTACAATCTAAGTGCACCGCACTCATACTCAAATAATGCTAATAATAATTTAATTTATATTTGGTGTATGATATTAATTGTAAGATAATATGAAATATTTTATATACAATAGGGTAGATTAAAAGTTTGTAGGTTGAGAACATTTGAGATTAATTATTGAAATAAGTGTGGCAATCAGAATTGCAACATGCACATCTAACTACAAAAATTCCATAACTAATTATTGATTATGCTTGCATTTATATATGACCAGGTTCATAAGCATGTCAAGCGTACAATACATAAGATTATACCCAGGAGCAGTATCATGCTCACTGAACAACAAGAATTGGACAAGACCACTGAATAAACTAGCCACGCCCTTTTATTATAAAATATCTATAATAATAATAATATTATGTTTCTATTTCATGGTTTACTTTTCTACTATTTTATGTATAACATATTTAATTTTTAAACTTTCAATATACTGTATAAACAAATAGAAATATATAAATATAATATATTTATAAAAATATAAAATTAACTGTTAATATCGGAGTTCAATATCTAACTTAGTTACACAACATTATAAAAATAAAATTGCAATC